TTTGCGGAACTGGAGAATCCACACTGTACACTGGAAATACTGAGGTCAGTCCTATATGACAGGTGAAATACTAAACTAGTATCTGTTAGATATTTGGAATGCAAATTAAACCACAGACTATGGGTATTTGATAATACAACTTGAATGCCCCCCAACATGTACACACAAAGCAGGAGAGTCTAGGGGAAGGGCTGAAGGATAAGCCACATGGGGAGTTTATTTACTGTGAGCTAAGCTCCTGTTTAGGTCTCTTTTATTTAGGCCTCAAATATTTTTAGACCCTCACACGTATTTAGTGCCTCAACTTGTAATACAGCTGATGCAGAATACAAATTGGCAAAGCATGAACTGTTTCTATTTCTGTTCTCTTCACAGTTTCATAGCAGAGGAACATAAATCACATTTACTTAGGTGAAATTACAATATTTGTTTATTTTAGGTAGCTACTGCATGAGCACCTTCTTGTGCCATACCAGCTACCTGTCAGTTATGAGAGATGAATTATTCCTGTAATCAGCTCTCATTGCACAGTACAGATCTCTGTGGACCACACACACGCAGTATGTAAAATGTTTTATATAATATATTTTCGGAAGTGGAATTTCTACTAGTTCTATTGCATACATTAGTCGTGTTCCAGTTATGTTTTACCTTCATAATTTGTACTAGCTCTGCATTGGCTGCTGAGGATGTTCACATCTCCCCTTTCAGAGTTATTAGTCAGGTGTGGGGACACCAGGCCAAAAGTTGGCTAACAGTGGAAGTTATTTCTCTGAATATATTATGCGAGGATTCATACATAATTTTCACATTTCCTGTCAAAATCATAAATCTACACCTGTACAGTGACCTCCTGCTGGTCTCTCTCTTTCACACAGAATGGAGTTTCTTTATATGGGTAAGTACTAGTGAATAGAGGGTCATGAAAAACATTGTAAACAGCGTTGTGATTTCCTTTCTATAGACTGTCAGACTGTAGAGTCAAAGAAGAAGGCTGCTCTTCCCTGGCTTCAGCTCTGAGGTCAAACCCCTCACACCTGAGAGAGCTGGATCTGAGCTCCAATCACCTAGGAAACTCAGGAGTGAATCAGCTCTCTGCTGTACTGGAGAATCCCAGCTATAAACTGGAGATACTGAAGTGAGTATAGAATATAGCAAAGAACAGGATTTTTCTGGATAATTAATTGCTCAATATTGTAATGGGGACAATTTTGACGTAAAAAAAAAAAACTAGGACTAAATGAAAACACATACAGTCGGACACTCTTACATTAGCTACTGGGGATGTTACTTATTTACTTGTTAAATGTCAGGACACCTGGCAGAAAGTTGGCTAATGGTCGCAAATTCATTGCCTGGAATGTATTGTAAGGAGGATTCACATCATCATTTTATGGGTTCCTTGTGTATTATTTTTCTATTTTTTCCCCAGTAGGGGGAAAAAACAGTCCTTTTTAGGTTTTGCAAGTACAGTGGTACCTCAGAACTCGAATTTAATCCGTTCAGAGCTCGGGATCGAATCCTAAAAAGTTTGAGTTTTGATCGAATTTTCCCCATAAGAAATAATGGAAATCCAATTAACTGGTTCCCGGCCCCAAAAAATTACACCTAAATATGTTTTTTTTAGCATTTAAACACAAAATGAGAAGAGCATATACTAAACTAATAAGAAGAGTATATACTATACTAAACACATCTAAGCACATTTATCAAAACAGTCATTTGTAAAGTAAGAAAATAAATGTATCCAAACAATGTGTCCTGCCCCGATCGTCCGCTCCTTC